CACTCGAACACTCAAGGCCTGGCCCGGCGCTCAGCGGCGACATCCGGTTTGTGGTGGAACCAGGCCGCTGTCCCGCCGGGGCGAGCCCGTCTTGCCGTGACAATAACAAGCGCGTGTGCGGGGTGGCGGGGAGCTAAATTTCCAGCGTGTTCATGCGGCTCCCAGCAGGTGCTCACTGGTGTGTTTTCAGTCTGAAAGGCGAGTGCGTGGCGGGTCGTGTTTTATGTATTTACTTAGTGTGAGACCTGGGGGGCGGGGAAGAGAGAAATTAAATGTCTGTGGTACGAAAAGACCGGGGGGGAGGGCAGTGAGAAAATATTTTTCTTCCTTTCACATAGTTGCTAACAATTTTATCTAAGAACACAGTAAGTAAAAACAAAAGGACCCCAAAAATGAATATTTTACTACAATGTGAGGCCTTTTTAGGAGGCTAAAATATTCTTTGTGGTTTAGTTGTAAGACATGTAAATAAGTTACCTTTTAAAAATAAATACCAACATTACTTGAATTTTATTAATATTTTTCTCGGTTAGTGGAAAGGTAGAAGGCCAGCAGAATGGTGAAACAATCCCAGCTGAGCAAGCAAACACTTCAGATGACACAGTTACGGGTGCTGGGCGTCTTCAGAATGATCAGATAGTTCAGAAAATAGAGGAAGTACTGTCTGGGGCCCTTGATACACAGCTACAGTGTAAATCAGGTAAATGAAAATGCTTAAACAGTGCATACATGTTTTTCTTCAAGGGGGACAGCCTCGAGTGAAACTAGTCAATTTTCTGAAAATGAAATAAACGCTTCTAGTACTATTGCTGTGCACTTCTGTGATGCTTCTTTATGGTTTTATAATATTTTACAAAAGATTTTCTCACGTCTCATCGGGCTGATACACTAAATTGGGCCAAGTGACAAACCTGTGTCAAACTGATTATCCACATAGTGCACTAATTAAGAGAAAAGTAACCTTTGGCCCGATGTATTATATTAATACTCAGTTTTATTTGTGACCGTGACAGGATAAAAAAATCACAATATAAATTTTTTAGTTGACATGTGCCCCTTTAAAGATTACTTATGCAATAAATCATGTAACTGTTCCTAAGTATCTTCAAGTCATTGTGCATTTCTAATTCTGGCAAAACTTACTGAAATTGGTGGAAGTTTTGTCTGAGTAATGGTTTATAGTTTATCAAAATACAAAATTGTATGACCAGGTATATCAATCAGATAGCAAGGAATGAGGTAATTTACTGGTAATGGTATTAGTGAATAATATATATGTAATTGAAAAAAACCGTGTTCGGCTTTCAGCTGCTTCAAATGTAATATACAAAGTAAAATGCTTGTATAGACCACTTGCTAACAGTTAATCTGGCAAACATGAGTCATGCAAGCATTGTCTACCATCCAGTGATTTCAGTGGAATATTCACAAGAGTTACTTGTGTATATAAGGTTTGGCAGTATTGGGATCCTACTTGATTACACAAATGCATTTTATTTTTTTATTTTGGAAATGAGATAGCTGCTGTAAACTTGGTAAGTATAGATCCTAAGTGTTTCCATAAAAGACAACGTAGAACTTTGTGACCGAGATGATTTGCAGTTTTTTCTGATCATGTTTCTTCTTTCCATAATGTACTATAGCTTGTCTACATGGATCATTTGCAGAAATCTTCCTTGCATTCAGGGGCGGCCCTACACTAGCTGCCAGCAACTGGCGCCCTAGGCGAACCATGCAATCTGCTCCCCCTCCTCCAAAACCCCTCAATGATATTGCGCCACCATTTGGCGCCCCATTTAACTTGGCACCCTAGGCGACCACCTCGTTCGCCTATATGGACAGGCCACCCCTGTTTGCATTTGATGTAGAACTCATATTGGTCCAATAAGGAACAGTGGAAGCACTAGTGCAAACTGGCTGCATTTGTTTTGAAAAGTTGTTTGTTTATTCTCAAAAAATACTGATAAGTTGGTAGTAAAAAGACTTGCAACCAGTATGCCCTATTGTGCCTAACCGTAATAGTAAAGGTCAGGTTGCACTGGTGATTAGGGATTTATTGAAAAAGTTGTGCAGGCATTCAAAGGAACACTGATAGACATAGGATATATTTCTTAAAACACTTAACTAATAAAAGCGGTAGTCATACAGATACTCGTATATGTAAAGTTATATGCATGTTTTAAAGATTGGGGCATATGTGTTTAATAATAGGGATATTAACAAACATTTATTTTTATAATATTTTTGTAAATTTTCTTTGATAGGCAGTAGTGCAGAGGGCATGAGGATCCATGGGAGCCCGCTTGAAAGCTGGCCTATTACCTCTCCCACTCCCTGCCTATCACATCTCCCACGCCCTGCACTGTTCCCTCTCTATCAGAGATAGCTGCATAGGCAGATAGGCGACTTCACAGGAGCTGGCGAGCAGCGGATCCTACCTGCCTTCCCACGCTTTTACCTCTGTGGGAGGCGGGGGAGGGAATGAAGGAGGTTCTGTGGGAGCCAGCACATGCAAAGAGTTGGCTTAAAAGCCGGCTCCCCGCAAGTACTGGCTCCCACCTGCCCCTCTGCGGGGAGGGATGTGTGTAACTGCTAGGATTAAACATTGAGCCTGGGCTTATCGATTAATTGTGTTAACAGGTGCATGCTACCATCCCTATTTTATTGTAGGTAGTGTTCCTATCACCATAGTATCTGAATGTTTACTTTTTATATCAACTGTTTTATTCCAAGATCACGTTTTCCTTTTCAGTATTATTTTGAAGATAGAAGTAAATCATAATCATATGATATCGTTTAGGGTTAGGGAGTAGCCCTGTGATGGTTGGGGGTCTGCTCCAGCCAGTGTGGAGCCCCCCTCCAACTTAAACAATATGTTTAACCAGCTAGCCAATTAAATGAGATTTTACATCCCTGTAATTAAGCACATGTGTAAATTTTTGCGGATTGAGGTGTGCTTAATATGGGCTTTAAGATGTATTTTGTCTATTTCTCAGATTAGGTGATGAAAGCTAGTAAATTCAGTTTTATTTTTACTTTTGATGTTTTTTTTGTAGGTTGAGCATATGTTCATGTACTAGTAACTGTGGCAATGCGTGGATTGCACACTTTTAAAGAAAAAGTATTTATTTGGAATTTACAAATTTCTCAATATTATTTATTAAGAGTTTTTAAACATGCACATTCAATTTTAGGAAAGCTGACCTGTCACTTCAAAAAAAAGAGGTGTATTTTAACAACCACAGTAAAAGTTTTGTTGAAGTATTTTTCTTGGGTAATGCAAATGGTTTTTCTTAGTTGCATACTTTTGTAAGATGTGCTACTTTTTTCAGGAATAATCATTGCTGTTTTTTATTCATTATAAGTGTTTTAGCTACTGATCAAAGGTCAGTTGCTGTCGCATTATCTTAAAAGTATTTTTTATTTTAAATATAGAAATCCTAGCAAAAAAATTGTCAAAAGGCAGTTTGAAAATTGATTTAGTTTTTTTGAAAGCTAAATTTTAGATTTTTGCTCAGACATTCTTAAGCTTTTAATGAGAGGGTGTGTAACGTGATGTTGCCTCGCAAAAATCTTGATTTCAAGTTTTGTGTATCTTTAAATTCATTTGTGCCCAATATTGGTTTAAATATTTTATATATATATATATTTTTTTATAAAATTAGTTTTTAAAGACTGGTCTTTTTTTTTTTTTTCCTTCAGGTGTACAGGAAGATTTGGTGACAAATAGATCTCCCTCTACAAAAAGAGGCCTTACTGATGAAGGAGAAGATGAAATTCCAAGAAAAAAGTCAAAAAAGAATAAAAAACACAAAAGTAAGAAGAAGAAGAAGAAGAAAAAGAAGAAAAGGAAGAAAGAGAAAAAACATAAAAAGCAGCCAAAGGAATCAAAATTAAGTGCACAGTATAGAGAGCATGCAGATTTACAACCTGCTTCTCACTTAAACCCAGAAAAAATAGTCTCAAAATTGATCACACAGCATGGAGGACATTCAGATTCACATCTTGCTGGTCACATGCAGCCAGAAGAATTGGGCACAAAATTGAGTGCAGAGTGCACATGTCATTCAGTTAAAAAACTTGCACCTTATTTGCTAGCAGATTCTGAATCATCCAGAGAAAAACTTGGAAGTGAAAAAACGAACTTGACTTTGACTGATACAAATAGTGCTTTCTGTTCAGAAACGAGCAAATTGGATACCCAGAAAGAAAATACCAGTACAATTAAAATTCAAGAGGAAGTTAAACAATTGGAGAATAAGACTCACGAAAATAAATATGTAGCTATTAATATGAATATAAAGGACGGACCTTTAGTCATTAAAGACACTGAAAATGGTACCGTGTCTACCAACAAAACTAAAGTTGCTAGTCAATCTGAAATTGAAAAGGATTTGGAAACTATTCCAGCCACTGAGATAACTGAAGAATTAAAAGATTCTGAAGCTACCCTGAAATCAGTGGGCATGATGGAGCTGAAAGAATTAAAAACAACTCTAGAATCTGAGGCCATGGCAAAGATGAAATGTTCAGAAGAAATTCTAAAATCTCTGACCGTGGCAACTTCAGAAGGTTTGGATGCCCCTCTAGAATCTGTGGTCATATCAGAGGTGAAAGCAACTTCAGAATCTGTGGTTGCAACAAATGATTTGATACCAACTCCAACATCTGTAGTTGTAATGGAGAAGAAAGCTTTGGAAGAAACTACAGAATCTGTTGTGACAGATATGAAAGGTTTGGAAGCAACTAAAGGCATTGTGGATGTATCAGAGGCAAAACACTTGGAAGGAGGTCTCGAATTTGTGACTGAGACTGATAACTTGGAAGCAGCTTCAAAATCTGTGACCAACGCAGAGGTGAATAGCATGGAAGCAGTTCCGGAATCTTTGTTGGAGGTGAAAGGTTCAGAAGCAGCCTCAGAATTTGTAGCCTTGGAGGTGAAAGATTTGAAAAGAACCCTAGGATTTGTTGCACTGGGGAAAGGTACAGAAACAACATTAGAAGCTGTTGTGAACACACAGGATTTGAAAGCAGCCTTAAAACCTCTGGTGGAGGTGGAAGGTTTGGAAGTAACTCCAGAACCTCTGTATATTGAGGAGGCAAACAGCACAGAAGGAGCCCTGGAATCTGTGGCTATGGCAATAGATGTAGAAGCAACCTACAAACCTGCTTCTGTGGCAAATGCAAAAGATGCAGAATCAGCTTTACGGTCTCTGCAAATGCAAGATATGAAAAATCCAGTAGGATTCCTGGAACCTGTAGAGGTGGTAAAAAGTTCAGAAACAATCCTAGAACCTGTAATGGTGACAGAGTTGAAAGATTTGGAAGGAAGTCCAGAATCTCTGCACATTCAGGATGTGGAAGATTTGGAAGTATCCTTAGAACCTATGGTCATGGTAACAGGTCTGGAAGTGGCTCCAGAATATGTGGCTACAGAGAAAGCTACAGACACAATTTCACCCTTTGTGGAAACAGAAGAAGTTAAAGATCTGGAAGGAGTCCTAATAGAATCTGTGGCAGTGGCAAAAGGTCCAGAAGCAACTCTAGAACATGTGGTCTTGGCAGAGAAGAAAGATGTGGAACCAACACCACCTCTGCAAATGGAACAAGTGAAAGATTTGAAAGGAGCCCTAGAAACTGTTGCCTTGGGAGAATGTTTAGCAGCAACCCAAGAACCAGTGATAGAAGTAAAAGATGCAGGTGCAATTCTTGAATCTGTGTCAGAGGTGAAAGATTCAGAACCAGTATCACTGTCATTCTTGCAGATGGAAGATGTGAAAGGTTTGGAAGGAGGTGTAAAATCTGTGGCTGTGGCAAAAGATTCAAAGCCAACCCTAAAAACTGTGGCTGTGGAGGAGGGACGAAGTTCAGAAGCCATTCGTTTGTCTTCAGAAATGGAGAATGTGAAAGATTCAGAAGAAACCGTAGAATCTGTGACCATGGCAATAGGTTCAGAACCAAACTTAGAACCTGTAGCCATGGAAGAAGCTAAAGCTCCAGAAGCAATTCTGTCTTTGCAAATAGAGAATATGAAAGATTCAGAGGCAATGCTACAGTCTCTGCAATTAGAAGATGTGACAGAATTAAAAGGAATTAAATCTATGGTGGTGACTAAAGATTTGGGAGCAACCCTATGGCCTCTAGCCAGAGCGGAGGAGAAAAGTGTGTTTGTTTCTTCACCATCTTTGCAAACAGAAAATGTGATAGAATCAGGAGTCCTAGAATCTGTGGGTGTGATGAAGTTGAACGCTTTGGAAGAGTCCATAGTTACGGTAGAGATGAAGGATTTTAAAAAGCCTATACAAGCTGAGTCTGAGAGCACAGCTCAATTTAAAGTTTTGGAAGCAATTCCTGAATTTCTGTCTAAGAAGGGAGATTTGGCAATAACTCCAGAATCTGTGTCAATATCAGATGTGAAAAACTTGAAAGTAATTGGACAACCCATATCACTGGCAGAAGTGAAAGATTTGGAAATCCCCCCAGAATCTGAGGCAGTGGCAGAGTCAAAGGATTCAGAAACAACTATACAATCTCAGGAAGTGATAGAAGTGAAAGATTTGAAAACAACTCCACAATCTCAAGTTGTGACCCAAGTGACTGACCTAAAAATATCTCCACATACTGAGGTGGAGGTGATGAAAGGTTTTGAAACAGCTGCAAAGTCTGATGCCACTGTAAAAAAGGTTGAAGATTCTAAATCAGCTCTGGAATCTAGGGCAGTAGTAGAAGTGAAAGATCCAGAAGCCAAATTGGGATCTGAGGCAATAGCAGGCCCAAAATGTTCTAAAAAATTTCTAGAGTCTGAGGCCAAGACAGAGCTGAAGCATTCAGAAGATATTCCAGAATCTTTACATTTATCAGACTTCAAAAATTATGAAAAAACTACAGAAACGGAGGTAGTGATTCAAATGAAAGATTCCAAAGCAACTCAGAAATCTGAGGCCATCACTCTGGTGAAAGAATCTGAAGTTAGTCGAGAATTACTACACATAGTGGTGAAAGATTGGCAGTCAACTCTAGAACCTGAGACTGTAACAGTGTCAAAAGATTTGAAGGAAACTCCAGGGTGTGAAATGGCAGCGATGAAAGTTTTGGAAACAACCCTAAAATCAGAAGCAGTCATGGAGGTAGAGCACTCGAAATCTGCTCCAGAATCTTTGTATAAAGCAACGGTAAAGGATTCAGAAGCAGTTCCCGAATCTCTCTGCACAACAAAGGTGAAAGTTGCAGAAGTAGATGTAGAGATGTCAGCAAAGGGGAAACATTTGAAAGAAACCTTAGAATCTAGGATCATGGTAGATGTGGAAACTGCTTCAGAATTTGTAGTCGGGAAGAATGTAAAAGATTTGCAAGATATTCCAGAACATTGGCAACCAGTGGATGTGAAAGTTTTGAAAGCCTCTTTAGAATCTGAGAAAACAGTGGAAGTAAAACATCCAGAAGCAACTCCAGAAGTTGAGGGGTTGACAAAGATGAAAGATTTGGAAGAAAATCTGGAATCTCTGATCGCGGTAGAAGGGGAAGATTTGGAGAGAATTACAGAATCAATCCCATTGGTAGAAGTGAAAGAAACTGAGGCTGTGATGGATCTGAATTTCTCAGCAACAACTCTAAAATCTGACAAAACAGCAGAGGTGAAACTTTTGGAAGATACGCCAGAATCTTTGACAGTGGAAAAAGTAAAAAATTCAAAAGCATGTCCAGAATCTCTGCAGAGTGGAGAGCAGAAAGATTTGAAAGCTGAAGCTGCAAGCGATCTGAAGCATTTGGAAAAAACTTTGGGCACTCCACAGCTTAAATATTCAGAAGCAGTTTTGAAATCTATGGGTGTAGATGAGATAAAACATTTGGAAAAAACTCTAGAAAGTCCTAATACAGTGATAAATGTGGAAACCGTTTTAGAATCTCAGCATGCTGTGGATGTTAAATTGCCAGAAACACCTCAGATTCCCGAGTTAGCAGGGGAGGTGAAAGATTATGAAGTAGCTCTAGAATCTGAAGCTACTGCACAGGCAAATTACTTTCAAACTACTGCAGAGTTTGTGGCCATGGTGGAGATGAAAGATTTGATAGCAGTTCCAGATCCTCTTCACACAGTAAGCGTGAATAACTTGGAAGCAACTCCAGAATTGGTAGCAGCTGCAGAGATAAAAGAGTTGGAAGCAACTCCTGAATCTGTGGTGGTGCTGGCAGAAGAAAAACATTTGGAAGTCATTTCAGATTCTCTGCATTCTGTAGAGGTGAAGGATTTACAAGCAGCTTCAGAATTGGCAGCAGTGGTGAAAGATTTGGAAGCAGCTCCAGACTATGTGGGTATGCTGGCAACAGTGAAAGATTCAGAAGTAGTTCTAGATTCTCTGCATACTGTGGATGTGAAAGATTCTAAAATAAGTCCAGAATCTGTAGAAATGGCTTCAGAGATGAAAGATTCAGAAGCAGCTCCAGGGTCTGTGGTGGCAGCAGAGGAACTAAAATATTCAGAAACAAATCCAGAATCAGTGACTGCAGAAGTGAAAGGTTTAGAAGCTGCTCTAAAATCTGTTGTGGCAGAGGTGAAGGGATTGAGAACAGTTCCAAAGTCTGTGGCAGCAGAGGTGACAGTTTTGGAAGCAGCAACCGATACTTTATGTCCTGTAGATGTAAAAGATTTTGAAATGACGCCAATATCTTTGCTGGAGGCTGAAAAGGTGAAGGATTTGGAAGCAGCTCCAGGTTTTCTGCACACTGTAGATATGAAAGATTCTGAAACAAGTCCAGAACCTGTGGTAGTGGCTTCAGAGGCAAAAGATTCAGAAGTCACTCCAGTATCGGTTGTGACAGCAGCAGAGCTGAAATATTCAGAAACAAGTCCAGAAGCTGTGGTGGTTACTGCAGAAATGAAAGATTTAGAAGCAGTTCCAGAGTCTGTGGCTGAAGTGAAGGATTTGCAGGCTGCTCCAGATGCTGTGATGGCCGTGGCAGATTTTAAAACTTCTATGGAATCTTTGACAGTGATGACAGCAGAGGTGACAGATTTGGAAGCAGCACAACACTTTCTATGTAATGTAGATGTAAACAATTCTGAAACAAATATAGAATCTATAGTAATGGTGGAAGAGGTGAAAGATTTGGAAGCAGCTCCTGATTTTCAGCATATTGTTGATGTGAAAGATTCTGAAGGAACATCACAATCTGTGGTAGTGGCTGCAGAGATGCATTCTAGAACATTTCCAGAATCTGTGGTTGCAGAGGTAAAATATTCAGAAACAAGTTCAGAATCTGTGATAGTGGCAGCAGAGGTGAAAGAAAAAGCTGCTCTGGAATCTGACAGAGAGGTAAAAGATTTGAAAGTTACTCTAGAATCTCTGGTAACAGTGGCAGCAGAGGTGACAAATTTGGAACCAGCTGCAAATTTTCAGCTTAATGTAGATGTAAAAGATTTGGAAACCATTCCAGAATTTGTTATGGCAGTGGCAGAGACAAAAGATTCAGAAACAAGTTTGGAATCTGTGGTGGTGACAGCAGAGGTGAAAAATTTGGAAGCACCTCAAGAATCAGAGGCAACCGTGATAGAGGGGACAGATTTGCAAGCTGTTGCAGTTTCTCTGGTGGTAGTGGCAGAGGGAGAAGACCTGGAAGCAGCTTGTAATTCTCTGCATACTCTCGATGTGAATGATTCAGAAGCAACCTCAAAACCTGCAGGCATAGCTGCAGAGATGAAAGATTTGGAAGTACCTGCAGATTCTCTGAATGAAATTTATGTTAAAGATTCAGAAACAACTCAAGAATCTGAAGCAGTGACAGAGGTGAAGGATTCAGAAGCAGCTTCAAAGTCTGTGGCGATAGAGGCAGAGGTGACAGAGCAAGCTGCTCCATGTTCTCTGGTGGCGGTGACAGAGATAGAAGATTCGGAAACATCTCTTGTTTCTCTGCATACTTTAGATGCTAATGATTCAAAAGCAGTTCCAGAATCTGTGCTGACTATGGGAGAGGTGAAAGATTTGAAGGCACCTCCAGATTCCCTACATACCATGTATGTTAAAGATTCAGAAACAACTCCAGAATCTGAGGCAGTGGCAGCAGAGATGAAAGATTCAGAAGCAGCTTCAGCATTTGGAGCAGCGGTGGCAATGGTGAAAGATTCAGGAGTGCCTCCAGAGTCAGCAGTAGCTGTGACAGTGGTGCAAGATTGGGGAATTGCTCTGCAGTTGACAGCAGCAGCGCAAGATTCG